AAAGGAAAAACTGTAAAAATCTGAAAAAAAAAAATTTAATTTAAAAAAAAAAAAAATTGATCTTTGTAAAAAAAAAAAAAAAGAAAGACAAAGACAAGGGGGATTTTGCAAGCAACAAGCTAGAGGAGACGTGTGACATACAAAGATCCTCAATGTTATTAAAACACATTGCTCATCAGAAACCTTGGAGGCCAGAGGGCAGCAGGTTTGTATATTCAAAGTGCTGAAGGGGAAAGGACTGTCCATCACGAATCCTCTTTCTCCCTTTGCCTCGTTGCCACAGAGAGAGCAAGAGGGGCCGCCGGCAGCTCTACTGGAGCACGAGGACACTCGGCCAGGCCCCGTTCTTGCCGTGTCTGCTCAACCCGCCGGGTCTGACCCGGACGGACGTACGGCCTCCACACGAGCCGCCAGTGTGTCCGTCAGGACGCGACGGACACGGGCTTCATCGTTGGACTAAGTGAACTTCCGTGAATGGGTCGTTCAGGACATCCACCTTATCACAGAATGCTATTCCTTTGTGCATAAAATAATTTTAAAACCCTTCAAATAAAAAATAAAAAAAAAGAATCCTCTTTCTAGCAAAACTGTTCTTCAAGAACGAGGGGCAAACGGAGACACTCCCAGATCAACAAAAGCCACAGAACCTGCGCCCGAGACGCTGACGGGAGCCCTTCGGGTTGAAGCAAAGGCCATAGAAGGAACTAAAAGCCCCTGGAAAGGCAAACACGGCCGACCCTCGAACATGCAGGGGTTAGAGGTGCCCACCTTCCACCTAGTGAAAATCCCCAAAACTTAACTACTAATAGTCCACCATTGACCAGAAGCCTTATCAATAACAGCAGTGAATTAACACATATCCTGATGGTGCATGTGTTATATACTGTATTCTTACACTAAAGTAAGCTGGAGAAAGGAAAATGCTATTAAGAAAGTCCTAAGGGCCCGGCCAGTGTGGCTCAGTGGTTGAGCATCAACCTATGAACCAGGAGGTCACAGTTCAATTCCCTGTCAGGGCACATGCCTGGGTTGCCGGCTCGATCCCCAGTAGGGGGCGTGCAGGAGGCAGCCGATCAATGATTCTCTCTCATCATTGATGTTTCCATCTCTCTCCCTCCCTCCCTTCCTCTCTGAAGTCAATAAAAAATATTTTTTTTAAAAAGAAAGAAAGAATTGTGCATGTACTTAATGCTGCTGAAATGTACATTAAAAAAAAAGAACTGCCCTGGCTGGTTTGGCTCAGTGGATAGAGCGTCGGCCTGCGGACTGAAGGGTCCCGTGTTCGATTCCAGTCAAGGGCATGTACCTTGGTTGTGGGCAAATCCCTAGTAGGGGGTGTGCAGGAGGCAGCTGATCGATGTTTCTCTCTCATCCATGTTTCTAACTCTCTATCCCTCTCCCTTCCTCTCTGTAAAAAATCAATAAAATATATTTTAAAAAAAGAACTTTACGACAGTCCCTCACTGGCCAGGCACTTCCTGGCCTCAGGGACTGAGCGCCGTGGAGCCCACCCAGCAAGGGCTCTCGCTGTCCAGACCGTCTCCGGGGGCTGCCAAGGGCTGCCAGCTGGTGTTTACCCTCCCTCCAGGCTGGGGATTAGCAGCTTTCGAGATAAGGCCGTTCTGAGCTAAACCGGCTGTGTTTGCACAGAACAGTGGAGTCAGCTCACCCCTGCCTCTGAGGTCCCCGGGCGTCTTCTCTCCTCACAGGAAAGTCACCTGTTCGGACAGACCTCCTGGCCCCTAGGCGATTCTCTTTATGGGTCCGGAATTGTCTGAGGCAGAAATGCTTCTTCTGTTATCTTGACAGTTTTTTAGGCCAAACCTCTTTCTAAAAGGACCCGACCACCCCCTGCTGGCATGAACTTCTCCAGCTTTGGACCCTTCGCCTTCTTTTCAAGCTGCCGTGCGATGATTTGCTCTCCACGGCCCATTGGAGTCCACGGGCCTTTCTCACAGCCACCCTGCAGCCCAGAAAAGCCCTCTTTTCAGACTGGGATGAAGGGTTTCACTAGGAGCGCGAGGTTTTCCCGCCGCAGGTGCAGCTGCAGCGACAGCCCCACAGACTTCCTTCGCGTTCCTCACCCTGGTCCCAACACTGTTCTCTTCCCAATAGTGAAATAGTGGCACCGACGCTGCAGACCCTGGGACAGGGCGTCCGTGGAACCAGCCACAAATGGCTCCCCTTGTCCATCGACGGCGCATATCAAGGACTCCAGCCTTTTCTTCCGACGCCGTGACGCCCCTCTGCTTCTTGGGAGCACGTCACACATCACGAGCGGCACTTCAATACACCGAACCTGCTGACGTGCTTAGCCTGCTGCCCTAAACGTGCTCAAACACAAGATCCAAACAAGGGCACAGTGGAGCGCTGGCTCTTCACCCTCACGATCACTGTCCGACCAGGAGCACATCACTGGCCCAGGAAAAGATCAAAATTCAAAATCTGAAGTACAGTTTCTACTGACTGCATGTCACGTCACCTCCACACCACTGTAAGATGAACGATCTTAGGTCAGGAACGGTCTGTCTATTAAAAGGATGAGACACCATGATCAAGTGGGATATATTCCCAGAAAATGCAAGGATGGTTCAATGCATGAAAATCAACCAATGTAATACACCACATTAATAGAATGAAAATAAAATCAGATGACCATCTCAATTGACATAGAAAAAGCGTTTCACAAAGTCCCAAATCCTTTTATGATTAAGAAAACAAACAAGCAAACAAAACTCAGGGCCCTGGCCGGGTAGCTCAGTTAGTTAGAGCATCATCCCGATACACCAAGATCATGGGCTTAATCCCTGGTCAGGACACACAGGGAATCAACCAATGCATGCATCAATAAGTGGAACGACAAATTGATGTCTCTCTCTGTCTGTCTCTCGCTCTTCCTCTCTCTCTCTCTAAAATTAATCAAAGAAAAACTCAGCAAAGTAGAAACACAGGAAAATTTCTCAACATGATACAGGCCATATATGAAAACCCCACAGCGAATAGCATACTCAACAGTGACAAACTGAAAATGTTTCCTCTAAGATCAGGAACAAGACAAGGGTGCCCACGGTCACCACAGACATTCAACAGAGTACTTGAAGCTGCAGAGCAAACAGGCAAGAAAAAGGAATAAAAGGCACCCCAACTGGAAAGGAAGAAGTAACAAATCTCTGCTCATAGATGATAAAATCTAGAATTCCACTAAAAACCTGTTAGAATGAATAAACAGATTCAGCAACGTTGCAGGATAGAAAACCAACAGGCAAAACTCAGCTGCATTTATTTCATGAACAATGAATAATTTAAAAAAGAAACCCGACCTGATTCAAAAATGGGCAAAACACTTGAATAGACAATTCTCCAAAAAAGATACATAAAGAGAAAGTCGACATCATCAGTCATTAGTGAAATACAGGTACCAACTACAATGAGCTGCCACCTCACACCAGTCAGCACAGCTACCATCAAAAAAGAGGGGCGGGGGGCGGACAGAACACAGTAAGTGCTGGCCAGAATGTGGAAAAATTGGAACCCTTTGCGCTGTTGGTGGGAATGTAAATCGGTGCAGCCGCTAGGGGAGTAGATGGGAGAACCCTCAACAACTTAAAACAGAACTCCTGTACCCACAAGCCCACCTCTGGGTGTTTACCCGAAAGAATGGAAAGCAGGGACTCATCTGGCCAGTTGTGCTCGTAGCAGCATTGTTCACAACAGCTAAGACAGGAGAACCCAAGTCTGCATCGACGGCTGAACAGGTGCGAGATGCACGTGTGAATGTGCGTGTGCACAGATATGATTGGCCTTAAAAGGAAGGGAATGCTGACACCTGGCACAGCGCGGGGGACTCGTGAGGACATGGCGCTGAGTGAAATAAGCCGTGACGAAAGGAGAACTAGTGTTTGATTCCACTCACAGGAGGTCCCTAAATCGGAGACGGAAGATGGAATGGCGGTGCCAGGGCTGGAGGGAGGGTGGGGGCGTGAGTGGTGCCTGAGGACCCGGGGTCCGTTCTGCCGAGGTCTCTCCCCGCCCACCCTGGAAGGGTCCTGCACCCCGACTGCACAGGCT